AGACGAGGAAGTTGAATGACAAGTGGGTGGTTTTAACGATGGATTAATATTAATGGAATGAAATGGATGGACGGCTGGATAGAGAGATGGATCAATCCTCAATGATGTATGCACATATGGAAGAATAGGTTATTTCTTCACAGAGGCAGCCTGACTGGCCTCACGTATGGCTGGTGGACTATGCCATAAAGGCCGAAACTGAAGTACTGGCCGTGGAAGCCGAAGAATAGGCCCCAATGTCTTCCAAGTCATTAACACTGCGTCGGACTTGCACACAACATTACCACCCAATTCCGCTGCCCCTATTTATTACTGGACTAATCGTGCACCATAAATAACACGCAGGGATTGATCTCTTGCGAATTTTCACCTTCACCAGGCATTGAGGGTCGTGAAAATGATAAGTCCTTTGTGGACACGACAATCCTCTCCACCTTGTCCACGTTGCCCGCGTTGGCGAGCCAACTGATCATGAGGGGTTCAGAGGGAGGGCAGTTGCTACAACTTGAGTTTTTCTTTCAAGCCCCTCGCAATTCTCCATCCCATTAGTGGCTGTAGTTAAAAGAAAAAAACCAACTTTACATCAACTAATCGCCAACTTCGGGAACAACCGATCGGATATTCCACTGTCGTAAAACTACGACACGTCTTTACAGACTTTAATGACCTTGTCTAATAGAGAACTTTTATTTCACAAGTGAATTTTAACTTGTTTATGTCTTTCTTTTGCTATTTAGCCCCTTCTTGTCCCTATTGGCTGATACTGCGGGGATACTGAAAAGCCTTGACGATTCTGATCGCATCGAATTGCTAAAGTAAGCAAAATTTCCTCTTTACATTTCAGTCACATTGTTCCAAGGGGAGGTTCAAAATCTCTTTCAACAATTCCGACCACATTCTTGTCTGAGAGCTAAGATATTTTATTAACACTTACTGGTAGCTGCTATTTTAAGACAATGCCCATTGGCAGTGGCAATTCTGCACATACCACTACAAAATCAGCTTCATGTTTTGGGCAAAGAACTTTTACTAGGAATCAAGAAGGGGAAGGGAATTATGGAATTTCAAAATCTGCCTTCTCGGGAGGCAAGAAATGCTGCAGCATTACCAGTCACTTGAGGCATCAACTGCTGCTGATGAATTCAGGCCACTCCGTTCTTGCCGAAGGAGTTTTCACTCCTGCCTACAATGCGAAAAACTAAAGTGTTTTTGTAAATTAAAAAAGGGAGGAAAACAGTTGATAGGGAAGCAGAAGGTGTCCGGTCACATCGCCCCGTTGGACTGGATTGCGCTACCCCAAAACCAGCGAACGTGACCGCTACCAGCCCAATTGCCAACTGACACACTTGAAGGCATTCGCTAACATCACGCACTGGTGCCTCCTCCTTCCTACAGGCTGTATGGATGACATTTTACTCACCCCTCTTTATGGCCATTGTTTCCAGGTTACTTAATCCGCTACCATGGCGATTTGGGAGTGCCAAACATAAAATCCTTCCGACTTTTTTGGCGAAGTTGATTTCCTAACAATAAGACCGCTTTAGCAACCATTTTTCATGCAGCCTACACTATCCAATCCACCCTAATCACTAGCGGTGGTAAAAAGGCAACTTCTAGGCAGTCATGTATTCAAATAATCCCACACAGTATTTGCGGGAACGAAACCGCCTTTCTTTGAAGTAACTCCCATTACTGCCGCCTAGATATAAGCTGGCCGCAATTCCCACCTTCATAGAGCCCTTGGCCACTAAAAGTTAAAATAAGGGAAGGAAACAATTCACTTTTAACTAAACTCGTTTCCAAGGCCTCCTTTATGCCCCAAACTATCGCCTTAACTCCACATGAGATTGCTTGTTTGTCTGATAAAAGAGGAGAGGCAGTGATCCCCACCAGGTTGAAAATGAGGGAAATGCGCAAGTGTAAATATGGACACAGATAAGGTGTGAGAATAGGGATCCCTGCTTCCATCCCCTCTGGGAGGGGAGGGGAAATTATAGCATCGGTAAGTTTCCTCACCTTCGAACCCCACTGAGGAGCATTTTATTGAGTAGGTTGATTTCAGGAGTGATTGCTCTCAATAAAGCGAGGGCTTAATGGCGAAGAGTCCTGTCTGCCGGCTAGTTGAGACGTATCTATGCTTCATGATACACTGCTGTGAGTGCCTACGACTCCATAAACAGTGGGCGTTTTCACAGGCCGCTCTACTACGTCCTCCCAGACATGCTACTGTGTCGTAGGGACACCTGAAATGTACTAATAGCCCCAACAGGGATAAAGAAAAATGCAGTTTTATAGGCTGATACGAAGCTGCCATTGCTACTGTTGCCAAGCCTACAGTGAGGAGGACAATTTCTGTCCACGAAATCGGTTCTGATTCCTGCCTTCTGCCGTGGGTATTGGATCCCTCCTCCACAGAACACGTCTATGCAGGTATTTATCCTCTTCATTGTTTCAACTCGGGGAAGAGAAAAGGTATTTTGCGGGTAGGATTTGCATTGTTCGACGATTTTAACTTCACATTAAACAACTCTTCCAAAGTCACTTGATGGTGAGACAGCATGAAGGCCCGCATCAATGATGAAATGCAGGCGGTAACCACACTATCCCCGTCGACTGGCAACCAGTGAGATGAAGATGGGAGGGAAATGAGCAGCGAGCTTTGGTCTGCCTGATTTCAAATGATGTAGAAGTCGTCCCCGAAGGTGAGCATTAGGTGTGCGGCTGGAGCAGAGAGGGTTCCTGTGAAGGGGAGTAGCCCTCGATCACACGCTCTTGGCTGGCAAAACAGGTCTCGTGAACGGAAATTTACTTTTGACGTGAGAATCCAGCCTAGGCATGTGTCTAGGTATGCTTTCGGCACGCATCCAGCGATTTAACAGTTCAACCATCTCTTCAACTGCCTACACGAACATTCATTTGTCCGTACATCCTCACTTTATCCATCCATTAATCTATCCATTCTAATCACCTATATTTCAACTTCCTTACCTACTTAGCCCCCTAATTCGTTCACTGATCAAGCCTTACGAGCCTCTGCCTCTATTCAGAAATTGACCTCATCGTCTTTGATGCGACAGTCATGAAATAGGTGGGATTGAAGTCCTGCCTTTCCATGTACTCACACACCCACACACACAGTTGCTAACTGTCTTTCTTTCTCTTTCTTCCTACATCTCTTGCTCTCACTCTACCAGGTGGCATGGTAATGGAGGTCATGTCTTCTATTCTTCTAATCCAAGGTATTCATCCATCTATCCATCCACTTCATTGATCCATTGGTGAAGCCATCCACTTGCCTTTCAACTTCCTTACCAGCTCATTCCCATAATTCATTCACTCGTCAATTCACACATGCCTCTGCCTCTATTCAGAATGGACTCCGGGAACGAGGGACTGTGAACTGCTCGCGAATGTGCTCTTGGTTCAGGTGTAGACATAACACCCCACAAACTCCTCGAACTTTGAGGTCAGCTTTTCCCTCCTGATACCACTGGCTTTCAGTTCTGCAGATAATCTCCCAAGGGCAAACGAGCCAGAAGCAATAAAGCATCGAACACATCAATTTTTAGGCACAAAGTAAGGGGAGAGAGTCAGTGACCCCCATTTTCCTCATGTTTCATGGATCTGTTGAGGTAGTACTTGCGCCAGCCGCAGATGAGATGCCAAAGATCAACTAGACTCTGTGATAGCTAAAGTGGCGTGCCATTCTGCCCATCTTACTGCACTCCAAGTGGCACAGTTTGTCCTAAATGTTCCACTTTGCAGGAGACGTAGCGAAGTCTCATGCGATGCTAGACTGGGGATCTCACATAAACCCGCGCATTGCCAAGTTTGGTGTCTATGAAGTCAAGGATGATGTCCTTCCAAGAAGCAACAGAACCGGACTTACGCAGTAATGGGGGCAGGAGAACGCTTCTTCATGTGAGATAGATACAGTCGAGGACAAGCGAAAACACATCGGCGACAATACTGACAATGTCAGCCGTGGAAATCATGCTGCCCAAAGACATGGGGAATGTGAGACATTTAAGTGACAACAGTGGCTTTCACTTTGAAGGCGGCCCGTAATCGTGGTGCCCTCTTATGCATGCACTGAAGGGAGGTGGTTCATTAAAAAGATTTTTCCAGACAAGTTCGTTTGTCGGGACGATTTTCATCAAATTCCAGGGGCATGAGAGTGGGGAAATGAGTTTTTCAGTTGTTACTTACTGGAACTATTTCTTGCTTTTATGCCTCCTCCTGTGGGCAAATTCATGTTTGCTTACTTATTGCAACAAGAGCTGCCATCTTTTAGTCAATCTGGTGCACATTGGTATTGTTATCTTTCAGTAGAAGGGGATAGAGGACACAGCGTTGACGGTGTTGTCACTCACCGGAAATGTGGAATGAGGACGTGGAAGTAAATTAACAATGTTTTTTGTATCTTGGAGAGGTAAAATGAACCTTGGGAGGTTTTTACCTGCTGCTAACGGTTTAACGTCGCCCTAATGAACACTCTAATGCGGACGTGTGAGGTCGACGCATTGTATTGCATGCCATTGAAGCAGGAAAAACACACAACCAACAATTGGATGGACTTAATCATCTTCTATTCAAGATTTAGTCTCCTTTTTATGGGAAGGAAGCTGATCGAAGCATAAACAGACACTGCGAGTGTTCACGCCCCCTCCACCTTCATCCCCTCATCTGTTCCACCTTCTTTGTCTGGCTCAACCCTCGTTTCACCGTTTCATCGTCTCACCGGTGACTTCAAAGCCACTCCATCTTTTATTAAACTAATTCGCACCCAGAATAATTAAAACGGTGACAAAGAACTTTTAGTCGAGGTTAAGCTGTCCACGCGTTGGGTAGGCCTCCACCTCTTTAGTGTCCTGTCAACTGGGCTCAATCTGCTGGCATCCACTTGGACCAGATGGGCACTCGATTGTGAAGAATTCTCAAGAGGACGAGAAATCAGGCAGCCACTGATAAGTGAAGACAACTAGTGGAGTAAACGGTGACCAGCGAGAGTAATTGAGCAAGACAATGAGTCCTCCTTGTACCCAATCCAGAGTTTGCTTCCACAGTTGGGGCGAATGGAGCTCCAGCCTCCACTGAAGTAGGTGGAATGACCCACAACATTGAACACTTTCAAAGCACAAGGTAGGTTCAGCGTTTTCTGCCATTAAAGCACTTTTAAAAAGGACACAAGAGCTAGAGTTTGGCAGCATCTGCAGACCTCTTCAAAGGACCGGAAGCTGGAGATGAAATTCACACGACTTTTGACCTTCACACTTTTGTCCTGACAGTTCATAGGGAAGGTGACACCATCTGACATTCATAGCGTTGACAGATGGAAGCGCAATTTGGGGAATTTGTGGACCACAGTTGTATGCCACCCATTATGGCTGAACTTTACGCAATGCCTACTGGCATGGAGCATCTGGGAAAGGAAAATAGGAACTACAGTGAACTGGACGAATGGGCACGCGGAGAGGGGAAGCTGTAGACAATGTGGAAGTGTCACAAACACATAGCATCCACAGTTTGTTGTTGTCCAAATGAATAGAAGGAAAAGCGTTTCGCTGTGTTTTCCAAGTGAAGGAGTGATTGGGCGATCGTGTTTCGGCTTGCGGCATCCAGGCGGAATGAAGAGATGGTGACAAGTTAGACTTGATGAAATGGGTCGATATCACCGGAAGTCCAATGTCATGCAGCCCGATTAAGCATCCGAACTCTTTCGTCCTCTTGTGCCTTTCCTCTGCACTCCCTGTCATGTTCACGGACAGCTTGTCGTGGGTGGGACAGGCTGTTTAAGCGTCAGACCTGAGTGTGATGAAATGGAATGGAAAACGCGCGATTTCGTGGATTTGACTCACATCACACACACCTCTTGGTAGTCAAAGCGGCCACTCAGGCAGTGTGCCTGCCTTCATTCTGCCACCATGCTAAACAGCCTTTAAATGGCATCGTCTTCTGCTTTGGACGGAAAGAAGAAGCATGTCATTGCAACTGATTGCCTTCCGCTTAAAAACATATTACATAGTCCCTTGGATGACAAGTGGCATGACCATTGGCATGTGTTGGCATCCACACAGCAACGTAGTTGACCTCACTGCGGCAGACGATTACGGATGCTG